AAATAGATGCAGGTATTATACTAATATACAGCTTAGAGCGGTTTAAAATGTATTGTAGTTTATAAAGTTAATCTTTCTGTAACATTTTAGGTTTGGGTTTCACTTTATCTAGATACCTTTTTATTTTTTGTGGGTGGAGCAAAATATACATGTGTCGAATCCAAACGGATAAACTAACGTTCTAATTTCAGATTTCTTCTTTTTCCATTTGTAGTTGTTGACCTCCTGTACTGGAGAGACATTAAGAAGACTGGAGTGGTGTTTGGTGCCAGCCTGTTCCTGCTCCTTTCCCTGACAGTATTCAGCATTGTGAGTGTAACGGCCTACATTGCCCTGGCCCTGCTCTCTGTGACTATCAGCTTTAGGGTGTATAAGGGTGTGATCCAAGCTATCCAGAAATCAGATGAAGGCCACCCATTCAGGTGAGATGTCTGGGAAACAAGGCGCACTTTGGCAACACTGTAAACAGGATTGGGGTAGAGACTTCATTCTACTATCAGTAGAGTTACAGGCATTGTTTTACTGCTTAAAGATAATTGCAAATTTTTGTTAAAAAGCTAGACCAAGAGCATCTGCTTTTGAGATTTGCTGAAGGTCATTTCATAGGCTCATGATGGAAAAACCTGGATTTATATAGCACTAGCCTAACTATACTACATATTAGTAATATTTATTTATTAGAAGTAGGTATCGGTTATCTAATTTTACTTTGATGGAAGCTATATCTTTTTAACATGGTTAAGGTTGATGAGAGTTACATTTTGTTATTGCTTACATTTTATGCTATCTGATACTAGAAATACCTTTCTGTCCAATAGTACTTTTTTCTGTTCTGCTTTCTCATCATGCCTGTATCTTTTCTTACCATTTCTTCTTTATCTAGTTTTTTCTTCTCATTTCTTAAGGCGTTATTTTTGTATTATCCTTTGGAGAGCTCCTTTATTTCAGCATCTGCATGTCTCTAAATTATCATCATCTGCCCTTATTTTTTTTACTCATACACGCTAGCATTATATATCTAATTGCTAATGGGACACACCTTATCTTGAGTCTTCTGCCCTCACTTCATGCTCAGCATGTTTTTTACCTTTTTAAAAATTGGAATATAATTCACATATTATAAAATAGTGGTTTTAGTATATTCGCAGAATTGAACAACCATCACCATCCTAATTCTAGACATTTTCATCACATCAAAAAGATACTTTGTACCCATTAGCAATCATTCCCCACCCAGCCCCTGACAACCACTAACTCATCATGCCTTTAAATGAACCTTTTTTCTCAAACTTGTCAGTCTGTATCAGTAGCACCACTGTTATCCTAATTTCAGGCTCCCAGTTTTTATGTAATCTTTTATTTCCATCTCATGTAAAGAAAATAACTAAATTTTGTTGTTTTCCGTGCGTCCTCAGTCTACACTAGGTGTCCATAAACTACAGTCATGGGCCGAATCCAGTCTGCTTCCAGCTTTTGTAAATAAAGTTTTATTGGAACACAGCCATACTCAGTTACTTATCTGCTTACATGCTTTCGTAGCAGAGTTAAGTAGTTGTGACAGAGACCATAATGAAATTCAAAGCCTAAAGTACTAGCTTTTTACAGAAAAAGTTTGCCTACCCCTGGCTGGACTTCATTTGTTACCACTTTGGCTTCTGGCTACCTCAGATTACTTTTTTACTCTTACAGATGCTGTCAGATTAATTTTTCTCAAATAGCACCTTATTTTTAGGCATAGGGGCTTTCTGTTCATGATAGGATGAAATCCAGATATCTTTGTCTTGTCTCTCATTTACCCCTTCTAGGGATTTTGTGCCCATTTTCATGCTGCCTTTTTAGCTCCCCAGATGCCCAAATCTATCATACATACGCTTTATTTGGTTCTGTGTTTGCTTTCAAGACCCAGCTCTTTGAAGAGCCTTCCCTAACTGGCTCAAAATGACGTGAAAATTCATTTCCTGTTACACTTAGTATGGCTTTGAAATGTTCTCTAATTGTTTTGTATACAACATCATTTTTTTTCAAATAAGGGTTGTGAACATTTAAAAACTATTCTGGCAAGACAAGTATCTATTTGGTCACAAATGAGTATGCAAACTATCTAGAACATTATCAAGTTGATGTTACTGGGTAAACCTAAATTGATTTTTGAACTTTACAAGAGACCTATTAAATTATTTTGCTTGTTGCTTCTGTCTAGCATTCTCTCCATATTGATGAAGTAATGATGTTACATAAGTTTTGGGGAGAGACCAACATTTATTAAATGGTTCTTATGTGTCTGGCCTTTTATGTACAGCCTTAATTTTCTTCACAACTCGATGAGATAGATGGTGTCACTCCCATCTTACAGAGGAGGAAACACACTTGCAGTACATTAACTTGGAATTGCCGCTTCAAAATGGCAGGGCCAATGTCATGCAGCAAATCATAAAGGAATATGATTTTTAATTAGTTATATTGAAATAGTTAATATTGTCAAACCAAAACTTCTAAATTATCTACAATATAAATTTTATACATCGTTGGATTTTAAAGAAGACTTTTGGAAAAAGCTAGTGATTGATTTCTATATTCTTTATTTTCTTAGAAACACTTTATTCTTAGCTCAAAGGCTAAGTCATTATAATCATTGTAAATTCAGTCAGCATGCCAGTTTAAGCCTGTTGGACAGTTTTCCCAAGTTCTCCAGTCGTACTTGTGAAGATGATATCATACAGTGAATATGTAATACCTTTGGTCATTGAAAAAGAGCTACGGCAGTGCATTAAAGTCACATAGATATATGTTGAATGAATGTAAAATCCCACAGGACGTCATTGACGGAGAGTGCTGCCTTCACGCTTGCTGGCCAGGCATCTTGTCTCCAGCAAAAGCAAAACCAGAACACCAAAGTTATATCAGCCACTTTTCTGTATTTCTGAAAGCTGCATAAATCAATTATTGCTGATTTATGGGAATTTGTAAATCTTTGACCATTATTAACTTGATAATAAATTAATATTTGTTGGTTAATAATAACAAACTGTGTGCTAGATCATTGTACTAGTAAAAATATATTCCTGGTCCTTAAGAGTTTATACCCTATTACGAAGAATGTACAGATATACATATGTCCATATTTCAAGGCTGGATATGGAAAGCACTGTAAGAAGAATACATACGAAAGCATCGTTAGAGTTGCAAAGTAGGGTCTTGGAGAAAAGAAAGCAGAGGAGGCTTCATGTATGGGTGGGATTTGAGGTGGTGCTTACTGGCTGGATATGCTGTCACCAAAGGTGGATTGGGCAAACTATGATTAACAAAGTTACTAAGATTGAAAATGTTTGATGAATGGCTCATTTTTGGTTGCAACAGAGTAAGTAGTGGGAAATAAGGTTGGAAAGATTTAGGAGTGCTCTGGTTGAAAGTTGGGACCATGGAATCACAGAATATGTGAGCCCGATGGGATTTCGGAAGATGTATTTCTCTAATTTTATACAGAATTGGAACTATGACCCAAAGAAGTTAAATGCCTTTTGCAAGGTTACATAGCTAGGTAATAGCAGGTCTCCGAACTCCCACCTGAGTTCAACCTAAATAGCACTATCTAAGATAGCTGGAATAAAACTAATGTGCCACTGGCTGAAGGGACTGGATTAGGATGGAGACAGAGACTTGTTTGGAAACTGATAGAATATTCCAATTTATAAATAATGAGCACTTCAACTAGAGTGTTTGCATAGTGAATATAGAAACGAGGAGACATTTGGGGCATATTGCAGAGGTAAAACTATGGAGAAAAGGAGTTAATCAAAGAAGACTGTTATTTCTAGTGTAAGTAATTAATGTCCACTGACATGGGGAAGTAAGTGATGAGGAAGGACTGAATTCTGATTTGGCTCTACTCTGCCAAAATAAGATGGCTTCTTTGAAACGATAACTAATGAAGCAATTCCTTTCATTTTCATTCCTGCAGACTTGACCCGCCCCCCCACTCCACCCCCGTTAGAGTTGTCTTCTTAAATTTAACAATTCCAGCTATCTCAGTATAGATTAGGGCATCTAAATGGACAGTAACTATTATGTTTTACTGGGATTGCTGCTATACTTTTGACAGCCATTTCACCATCTGGGACTTGACATTTTGGGCAGTTTTCCCTCAAGATTAGGCTGAGAGAGTGTAGTATTTGGAAATGAATAGGATCTTTGTTTGGAAAACTTGATGTCAACTTGAAAAAAAAATCCATAATAATGACTACCATTTATTGAGTACGTCTTTGTATCTGATTTGTGATCAGTACTTTACTCATTGAATCTTTGTGATAATCTCCATTTTATAAATGAGGAAACTGAAGTTTAGAGGGAAGACTAACTTTTCAAAGTTACATAGCCAGGTGGCAGAGCTTAAGATTCAGATTCAGGTCAGTCGAGCTTCAAAGCATATCCTTTTTTCTATGCTCGTCAGCTGACAGTACATATCAATGACTACCCTTTGCTTGGTGAATTTTTACATCATGCTTCATTTGGAAACAGAAGGCTTTTATAGTAAAATTTTTTATTAATGTCTACTTTTATAGATATGTAATTGTTGAATGACAGACATCCAGAGGAAATCACTCCAATCAGTGACAGTTATGATGTGTTGTGTTTTCTAGGGCATATTTGAAATCTGAAGTTGCTATATCTGAGGAGTTGGTTCAGAAATACAGTAATTCTGCCCTTGGTCATGTGAACTGCACAATAAAAGAACTCAGGCGCCTCTTCTTAGTTGATGATTTAGTTGATTCTCTGAAGGTAAGTTTATTTACTTTTCATTTTTTACATACCCAGAATTTAATATTGAAAGAGTTAGTGTCAAACTCTTTTTCTAAATTAAAATGAATGATAAAGATGCAATGAAATCATGTTATAGTAAACTTGGGTTTTAAAATTCAGGATCCACTCAAATATTTAAGATAGAGGAAAGTACTTTTCTTTTTTATAGAAAAATAAGTTATAATAAAGTCATCATACTTTTTGAAATCATAAAAATTAAAAGTGAGAAAATTAAAGGAAATTTTTACAATAAGAGTAAAAAGATTGTCCAATAGATTAAGTACCAGATATGATTTAACCTGTTCGACTTTGTTGTAGAGCCTAGCACTTAATTTCTTACCTTGTGTGTGATTCATATACACACATAAGCTATTTCATATCTTGGACTCTTTCTTAGCATGTTTATTCTGTTAAAGCTTTGATATTCCGAAACACCTCACCTAATCTTCAGTAAGTAATTGTTGGAAGTTTTTCTTTACTTTTTGGATCTTGCGACATAGCAGCTGTTGTTCAGACGGACTCAAGCCACTAAACAATCATGTAACATGAGCCCAAGCACTTGGACTTTGGGACTTTAGTGCTTTTCCTTTATGTAGAACTTGCCATTCATGTTTTTTGTGTGATTGCCTGCTTCAGACAGACTTGTTTCCAGTCTAAGCCTGTGTAGAAATGCACTATGGTAGTGATTATCATAAGTTTTCTTTTCCGAGAGTAATGCACTGGTTTACAATTTATCACGCAAGCCAAGGATATCATAGCAATAGGATGATTGGGCCTTTAGATCCAGTGAAACAATTTCTGAACTGATCAGAATAGGTTTAAATGCCCAAACTTTTTTTAACAAACATCTTAACCTTAATAAGCCAGTAGATGGACTCTATTTTCAGCTGTGTGTTTTTCTCAGTTTAAGACTTGGAACCCCAATTAGTTACTAATACATTAATGGTAAACAATTTAGTTTCCTTATTATCTCTTTTGTATAGAGTGCTTGCATTTAGTGATTGATTCTGTGCTTTAAGGACAGTCTGTAAATAAAAAGATCATGGTTATGTTATTTGTGATGTTTGATTAATTGGTTTCTAAAGGAAACAAAAATATTTTGGAGTAAATGAAATAGAATCTTTGACATATGGGTCCTAGAAGAAACCAGTTCCTATTCACTGACGTGATAATTGCTATGTATATAGCTTGACTTGGGGTGTAGAGCATGTATAAAGAATTATTGAGGAGAAAGGACGAGTGCAGTTTAAGATGAAGGGTTTGTGGGTGGAAATTGTGAAGAAACACTATAAATGATACAGAGCTTCAAACAAGAAAGAACCATCTCTGAATTTAGCAGTCAAAAATTGGTGTTGAGGTGACTTCAAGTACAGGCAACATGAAGCTTGACAGAAGAGAGTCACTGTTTTTGTGGACTTAATAAAAATTGCAATAGATATAAACCAAATGTTATCCTTCATGTTTGCATAGTATAGCTATGAAGGCAGCTGTGTATGCCTGTAATTTAACATTTTTCTTGAGACAAGAGGCATTCTTGGAAGAAATCTGTTTAAAAATAAAATAAAAAACAAATTGATCTGGGAATCATTCCTTATGTTCCAGTTTTTACAAGTTTGAGTTTAAGGTTTCCACTTGCCTTTAATCAAAAGAAAACTTATTTGTTCTTTCAGAATTTACTGTCATCGATATACACAGTCCTATGTGTAGACAGTGATATAGGTGTGGAAATGAAGGCTAGAGGAGTGAGAAAATAGAGGAGGCCTGATTAAATACTTTAGAAACCTTTTAAATGTTTTATACAGATGTTTGAAAGTAGGATAGTAGGCAATTTTATGAATAAATTACTTTTATGATATAAAGAATTCCTTTTTGCTGTTAAATCTCATTTTTAAATTTGTTTTGGAAATTACCTTAGTTTTTATAGGGTTTTTTTAAGCAATTATGTTATTCATGAGGATGCTAACATAAATGAGAAAAACTGAACTTGATAAATTCTTGCCTTGAGTAACTTTGCTAATTTGAAAGTAGCGGAATGAGATTTGAAAGTAGCGGAATGAGATAGATGTACTTTCTGGAACGCTTTATTTTTATGAAGTTTTCTTATATTTTTAAAACATTCTTTGTTTCTTAATATTGGGGGGGGAAAGGCTTGCGTTAAAATTTTGATTTACTACTTTTTCTCCTTAAGTATTAGCAGTGCTTTTGAAAAGAAAAAGTAGAAAATTTATATGAATGGCTTTCCTGAGGAATGTTTTTTGGAAAGTGCAGAGCTCAAGGATAGCTGGTTGTTGACTGCAGAGCTCAAGGATAGCTGGTTGGTGACTTCCCCAGAAGGCAGTTCTTTCAGGGCTCTAAATAAGTAACAGTTGTTTCAACATGTTAGCACTTAGAAGGAACTCTGCATTTAGGTATCAAAACTGGTTGGGGAAAAAGAATAAGGCAGGTGGGGATCCTTTTCTCCAGATGCAGAGGCGCTGGGTCCGAGGCGCTGGGCGATTCAGGTGCGCACACTGGTAACACACACACGGTAACGCACACTGATAAACCTTGTGGTTCTGCTACATGCGGGGCCTTTAGTTAAATCTTTTCTTAATGTCATTGTGTATTTATAGTACAGAGTCCATGTGTTTGTTTCCACAGATTAAGGGTACTCTAGAACACAGCATATTTGCTTAAAACGTCTCTTATTGAAAAAAGCTGATAAAACTTGACATTCTTGGCTCTTTTTAAAAAAGACTTAACAGTATTTCCTTTCTAGAGAGTTCCTTGAGCATTTGCTGCTCTTAACCCCTCACAGTTTTTGTCTGTATAGATAGTATTTTTTAAAAGAGAATGATGTTTTCTTCTGACTTTATTACTTTTTGCCTTTTAGCCACAGCAGAGTTAGGAGAGTCTTATTATATTCTCTCTCCCTAAAGTAAGCAAAAAAATGGTTTTCTTAATTCTCTTTTTCCTCCCTACCTTTTCAATGTAAAGGAAAAATCAATTTGCCTTGTTAGACTGATTTATTTTATTTCCTTATATTCAGATTTTAAATCTGGAAAGTTTGCCAATAAATAGCCCTAATCTCTCCAGCTTTCAGATGAATTTGTGGAACACTGAGTTTTAATTTTATAGGAACCAGTTTTTAATTGGAATTACTTTAATTTTGTATGATTCATAGTTAGAAAAATGGAAATTACCCTAATTTCAAGAATTCATGCAGTGGGAATTAAGTCTCCTTTTTTTTTTTTTTTTTCATTTAGAAAGCAGACATATCAGTCTCTGTAACTCATTTAAAAATAATAGCCTTTAAACTAAAATTTTAAAGCGATTTCTCTATAACTCATTGTCTTCATAAATGTTTGGTGCCCTCAAATTTATATAATCCACATTTCTAGATTCTGGGTCACAATTACCACTACTTCTATTTGAAACCTTCTTCCTGAGAAATTGAACATTTTAGAGCCACTATTGTTAATATGTGAAACTTCTCCTTGCTTATTACCTTTTGTGGGGCGGTGTGTGGGAGGAGCCTATTCTTTCAGATATGATCAAAGAAATAACCAAACTCCAAGGTTCGTTAGGCCTTATGAGAAAGACCTGATGTGAGATGGTGGTAATCATTGTGCTGGGTTTAGGTTTCCTTCTGGTGGTTGACTTGGACAAATGTGTTCTGCAGATTTCTCCTTTTAAATTCTGTGTACTCATTCCATTTGTTTTGCTCCTTTGCAGTTAACTACATCTAAGTCCTAGAGAAGATTTCAGGTGTCCATAGGTTGAGCACCTACCCATTTCCCAAAGGATTAATTCTAGTGAAATATTATGGGCAAAATGACTGACAGTATATTCTGAATTCCATTTTTGAGAACTTAATTCAAACTTTAGTATAGAATTTTACCTCAGCCAAATATTTGACCAATCCTCAGGCTTTGTTTTAAATATTACATTTTGTAAAGTGAGTTTGTTCCATCCAATGCCAGAGTTACGGTTGGGGGAAGAAAATGAATGAAAGGGAAGTAAAAGAAGGAGGTTCTCTAGTAAAATTAAGTTACAAAAGCTGTGTATGAATGCTTTTCTTGGAGAGCCTAATGTCAGTTTATTAGTACCTGAGAAGTCAGAAGAAGGCTGGATAACTTTATTTGACCTAGTATTTGTCAACTTGTTTAAATAACACCCATTGCCACCGGAAAACTAGTATAAGATAGTTGAATAAACTTAAACCACCTTGTTAAGGTTTAATTCTATTTCTGTGATTGGCCTCTGTGTAAGGGATCTTGGATAGGGGCTCTTGTTTTAAAAACAGTGGTCCTCGGTCTTGGCTGCACATTGGAACCACCCGGGGAGCTATAAAATTTTACTGATACCTGGGACGGGGGAGCAGAGGGGACACTATCCCCTGAAACTGTGTTAATTTCTCTGGAGAAATCACGCTTTTTAAAAGTTGCAGCATTAAGCTATAAAATCTGGGCTATCATTTCTCCCCACTCCCACTCTCCTCCTATGATAATAAAGAAAAGCATATGACAGTCTCTGCTGGGCTCAGCTTTGGGGCTTCTTAAAGCTCTTGAGTCTTACTAAAGGTTCCTCCTGTCTTTTGAAACCTCAAATCCTAAGAAAAATTCTAAAAATGTCATCTACTAGATACTAAGACCAGGTGTTTTGGGCAAATGTTCTTTTTTTCTCACATGGCTTTGGGTGATAAAGAGTAGATTCTGTATGATAGTAGTTCTGTGATTTTCAGTGAAAATGTAAAAATTGTTTATAAGAAAATTTCTACCTATAGTTGCCTATAGTTGCCTGATGATCAGGTAACTATCATGTTCTAGAATACAGCGTTAAATCTGAGAGTGAACCAAAAAAAAGGCCTGAACTCCAGAAATAGCTGACCCAAAAGAACATTAAAATCTAGCCCTCAGGTGCTTATGAGGTTATTAACATACACACTTTGACAGTTTCCTTTCTGGTTTCTTTGGCTCACAGAAAACTTAGAAGGGAAGTGGGCTGAGGAAAATGTAGAGATAGTCGAAGTGATATTAATGAATGAGGCTGAAGATGTCAAAAAAAGGTCAAATACTTTTCAGTGTTTAAAAATGCAGAAAAAGTTTGAAAATGTCAGAATTGCCCAAGTAATTTTGGAAGTTCTGTTAAACACCCTCCCTCCATTTTCTTTAGAAATGGCCTCTGCCCCCACAGAGACATCATCTAACGAAAATCTGCACAGTTAAATTTAATTCCTTATTCCCCTGGACAGAAAACAAACAAGACATGGCCCTTGCCCTCTTCCGGTATTTATGAGACCTCATGCCCTTTGGCCCGCTTTCCTCCAGCCTCAGATGGGAGCTTTGACTTCCGGTAATTTGCATTGGCCCTAATGCTGCAAAGTATTTGCCATGGAATAGCATAGAATTTGTAGGTCCCAAGTGAGAGCTGCCGTTTTGTATTTTTTTAGAAGTGTTTATTAACCTTTTTTCTGCCTCTGTGATAGCATACACATTTGTGATGGATTCTCGGTAATGGTTCCTCGGTAGGTGGTTCTGTAGTACAGCAGAGCAGATAGATTCTGGAGCGAGATACACCTGAGATCACTGTGACCGGTCTGGCAACCTGCTTCATCTTTCTGCATCTCGGTTTCCTCTTCTGTGGGGATAACAGCAACACTTAACTTTTGGGGATATGATGAGATTAATTACCGACCTAATGTATGTTCAAAAACAAGTTAGTTGCTGCTGTTATTATTTAACAGTTATGGTAATTGTGCAATTGCTAGATGCTAGTTCTTACTACCACTCCTTTCTCTTCTGATGGTGTATTCTCCAGAAATCCTTACTCAGTATTTTTGTTTGGAGCCTCTGAAGTGTATTTCCTCCAAATTTAGCTGCAACAGTGAAAAATTCTGTGACAGCATGTAAGAACCTGACTTTCTGGTTTCTCTCTTAAAATGGCAACATTTGGCAACATTGGCCTGTTGCATGGCAGCACTCTGTGGAGCCGGGTTGGGGGTGCCTTCTTGAGAGGTAGAGTGAATTTATCTGTTCTCAGTACTCATCCGGGCTTCCTCCCATGTTACTCGTATGTCACCTGCCTCGCTCCACAGACATTTGAGGCTTCCCTCTGTCCCTCTCTCTGCCTCTGGAGAGCCTGGCTTTTGGGAAGAGTGTTCTCCAAGACGCAAGTACAGTGACAGTGGAGCCCCTGAGATAGCCTAGGTATGAAGTTTGGGGCTTCTCTCCTTATGGTTTCGGAAAGTGACCTTTTCAGTGACTTAATGACCAAATTAGGACTTGTTTTTAGCTTGTGTGTGCTAGTATCTGAATTCTGTCTTGGGTAGGGTATCTTTATTGCTAAAGCAATTTCTTCTAAAAGGTGGGAGGTGGACTCTTTTCACTTTAGTCTTGTGGATGGTGATGGATAAAAATAGCTCTGGTGCTCTATAGCGAACTTGCTCAAGTGCAGAAGTTATATTTAGTTTCTGCAATAGGAGTCTGTAAAACTATGTGAGAGGGAAAAAGCTTGCTAACCAGAGTCATGCTTTATTGGTGCCATAGCAGTTGCTAAGACCAGAACAGCACTTAATTTTTGATTTTCAGTTAACAGGTGTTAATGTTAAGAATGCCTGGCATTTGCCCACTTGAACATTAAATTCAGTTGTAGGGGCACCCAGAGTGTTACTATTTCTAGAACTGACAGTTGGTGAAGGAATCTGAAGTGTCCTCCTAGCCTGTAGTAAACGTGCTTATAGAGTTTGAACACCATAATTACTGCTCAGTACCCAGTTCTTAGTAGGCATTCAGTCAGACATTCAATCAGATTTTGTTGAATGAATGAACATATGGGGAAAGATATACTTTAGATCAAGGGTCAGCAAACTACTGTCTGGCCCATGGCTTTCTTTGTACAGCCTGGGAACTAGGAATGGTTTTTACATTTTTAAAGGATAATATTCAAAGAATATTCAAAGATAATACTCGAACATGTGACAGAGAGCCCTTGTGGCCCACAAAACCTAAAATGTTTAGTATCTATCTTTACAAAAGTTTGCCAATCCCTGCCTTAGATAGATGGAGTGCCAGTTCCTCTCCTTGTTTACAGCCTGTTACATGTACTGAAATAATCACCTGGATGGTGGCATCATGGTGATGCTTGTTACCTACTAAACAGGGCAGAGCGATTGCCAGATACAGGAGGGCTTTTACTAGGAAGCAGAGGAATTGCTGATGATGCGCATTTAATCAAATCCAGACTGACTTAGTGTTTCTAAGTCTTCAAGACTCCTTTGAATTGGCATTGAGTCGTCGTACTATATGATGTCAAGTTTAGAACTGGAAGAAAACTTGAAAATTCTCTTGTCCAGACATTCACGAACAAACTAAAGTATGGAGAGGAAATAAAAGGACTTCTCAAAAGGAAATCACTTTTTAGAAGCAAAGTCTTACCCAAAACTGCCTTATTTGATGATTTAAAAAAAAAAAAAATTTCCCTAGATTTTGAGACCGGGATTAGAGGAGGCGAATTTAGTGAGTTTACTGCAGTCACCAGCCCCTGGAGGGGACAGTTACTAACCTCTCTGTTCTTCAGTGTTGGTGTCTGCTGTGGGAATGATGATAGTGCCTGCCTCATAAAGTTAAGAGTATAAATGAGTTTACATTTGTAAAGCATTCAAAACAGTGCCCGGCACTAATATATAAGAACTATATCAGTGTTTGTTAAATCAGGAAGGCAGTGGCTAAAGAAGAAAATTGGTCCATTTTATTAAGAGGTATAAATGTGTGAGGCATCCTCAACCCCAGGGTTAATTGTAGCTGTTAAAACATATATCTCTGGGCAAACAGTGCCCCTGATTTTTAATCAAATGCTGGATGTGATATTTTGGGTACCTGAAATAATAAATACTCCTTGATGATAAATACTCCCTGCCCATTGTTACTTATTCAGGTGTATGAGATTTTACTGTTGGAATTATTCAGCTTATGTAGATCTTGAAGCACTTGTTATTACTTTAAAGTCAGTTTTAATTGCGAATTCTCAGAGTACCTTTTCAGTCTTCCTATTTAAAAGCTAAATGCTGTATTAGAACTGGAGCGATAAGGTGTACAAGTATGTTTGCATCTTTTCTGTTCTCAGAGAAAACAGAATCAACTACTTAGTAGGGTAGTCTAGAGAAAATGAATCAAATCTATTTTTAATTAGGATTCTGAGATTCTCAATTGGGACTGGTGACTTTGAAGTGAAATATCTGTATTACTTTACCAAGTCTCCAAGGAATATACCTCTAGTAGGTTGGCATTTAGATGGGATGCTTTTATTTGAAAGCTTAATTAAGAAACTTGAATTTTGTTTTTAATAGGCTAATGTTATTTTCTTGTAGTTTGCAGTGTTGATGTGGGTATTGACCTATGTTGGTGCCTTGTTCAATGGTCTGACACTACTGATTTTGGGTAAGTCTCATTGGAATGAAAAAAATGGCAGGAAAAAAATTGTGTGCAAGGAGCTTAGAGATTTTAGTGGAGAATATCCTTATGTTGTAGGAAAAATGGGATGTATGTTTGAGGTTGTGATCTCTTTAAATAAATTGTGACGCTGTTTATTGAAATGCTACTTTAGTTTCTGAAGACTGCTCCTACTAACAGTAATAAAGCAGATCAAGGGCGGCCTTTCTGATGGTATAATAACAAATCTACCTACCCCGGGATACCTGCATTTATAAAGTCTGTGTCACCTGATCTGAAGCCAGGCAAGGTTCTTGCGGCCTCCCTTGCTTAATTCATTGCTCCGAGTGGCTGGCTCCCAGCATGTACATCCAGGAGGCCTGTGTGTTAGTCATTAGGGACACTGCCTGGCAAGCTTACGGGTGTTGCCAGTTTGATGGCTTTTTAGTGTTTGTTCCTTAAATCATACCAGTCTGTTTTAAAGGTTGTGTATTTCCTTTTTCAGCTCTGATTTCACTCTTCAGCGTTCCTGTTATTTATGAACGGCATCAGGTAATTTCTTAACTGTAGATTTTAGAATACAGAACATACTTTATTATGTGGAACTTAACAAATGTGTCACTGCCAGTTTCCAAAGTCTTATAAAAATGAGAAATGTGGCGGTTGCTTAAGCCTTTAATTTGTTGGGTCATAGTACAGATTCTTTAGCGATGGTAATTTTCTAATAACTCCTTTATACCGCTCTTTCAGGCGCAGATAGATCATTACCTAGGACTTGCAAATAAGAATGTTAAAGATGTTATAGCTAAGTAAGTATTTCCTTTTTTTTTTTAACTAAGAATAAGGTGTACTGGACTTTGAAAACAGTGCAGTGTTTTAGTATTTCAGGCATAGTGAGTAGCAAATCTCCGTCAGACCTAAAGTGTGACAGAATTGTGAAAAGATTTTTTTCCAAACATTTGGATAATTGATTTCTACGTTTACTATGTGTATTTAAGGCTTTGTTTAAATCTAATTTGTGAGGCCAATGGTAGCAGGAATTATAGCTTGACAGCCTTAGGATTTCATTTCTTGTATAAGCTGAGGAATATACAAGTAGTTCTTAAGGACAGCATTTTAAGAAGCAGAAAACAAAATACTTAAATATTTACATTGATCTTTTCCGCCACCTCCTTTTCATTTGTAGAATCCAAGCGAAAATTCCTGGATTGAAGCGCAAAGCTGAATGAAAAAAAAAGCCTGAAATAATTAACAGTAGGAGTTTATCTTTAAAGGGGATATTCATTTGATTACATGGGGGAGGGTCAGGGAAGAATGAAGCCTTGACATTGCAGTTTCACAGATCTTTATTTTTTAGCAATGCAGTGTCTGAGGAAAAATGACCTGTCTTGACTGCCATGTGTTCATCACCTTCAGTATTGTAAGCTGCTATGTATGGATTTAAACCGTAATCATATTTGTTTTTCCTATGAGGCACTGGTGAATAAAAAAAGATCTGAGAAAGCTGTATATTATACTTGGTTGCAGGTAGTATTGCTGTATTTTGGGAATTGCAGAGCACGTGAAGCTGAAAAACAAAAATAACCCTTTTCACAGTTTGTGCACTGTGTATGGTCTGTGTGGATTGATGCAGATTTTCTGAAATGAACTGTTTAGACGAGATCGTACCACTAAAGCAGGCGTGAAAAAGCTTGCCTTTCTGGTATGTTCTAGGTGTATTGTGAATTTTACTGTTATATTAATTGCCAATATAAGTAAATATAGATTATATATATATCTATATATAGATGTTTCACAAAGCTTAGACCTTTCCCTTCCAGCTGCCCCCACAGTGCTTGATATTTCAGTCATTGGTTATATGTGTGTAGTTTCAAATACATAAGCAGAAAAAAAATATATTTCTAGGAGCACTACCATCTGTTTTCAACCTGAAAACGATGCCATGCACATAGAACTCAACATGTAAACTTCATCGCACAGACTCACCGTAGTTAATTTTGTCACAAACTCTGAATCTATGGACTGAACTTAATGCTTCCAAAAATGTTGTTTGCAAATATCAAATATTGTTATGCAAGAAATTATAAAATGATTTATACAGTTGTGGTTTAAGCTGTACTGAACTAAATCTGTGGAATGCATTGTGAACTGTAAAAGCGAAGTATCAATAAAGCTTATAGACTTAAAATACGTTTGGTATTTTGGCTTCATGAAACTGCAGCAGATTCAAAGTGCACACAAAGGTAGACTTTGCTTCCACCCGAGAGTGGTAGCTTGTACTGTTAGAAAGGCTTTCAGCTCGTAGTGCAACTGGATTTACTTTGAAAACAAAAGAACATGTTAACATAGTCAAATTTATTTGACACATACCAAAATGTCTTTAAATTGGGTATTTTTTTATACTTTGAGAATTGAAAATAAAATTCATGCACCAATATTTTAACATAGAATACAGTGCAGGATTTATGAACATACATAAAATCATACCATAGAAATGTTTACTAATGAGATATAAGACGTTTTTCTTGACACACAGACACTATTGCTCCTTAAATATAGTTGTACATATCAGTGTTCAGTTTATTGTTCTTCCATATGGTTATTTTAATGCAAGATTCAATTAGTATGAAAGGTCAGTGGTACAATATATAGGCAGACATGGTTATCACTCAGCATCACCAGTCACATGGTTACAGAAAACAGAATTAGGACTGCATAGGAATTCTAACTGTGGGCCCAACAACCTAGCCGTGGGTTAATGTAAGGCATTAATAAATTGGCATATAAAAATAGCTTAATGATCTAATCCATTTAGAATGCTGAAGCACTTCTGTGGTAAATGTTAATCTATTTAATTGAAAATGCTTCATTTCATTCACCTTTTCTCTGAGCGGGACAACTGCAAATAGCCAATAACTCAAGATCCAGAATTTTAGTTCACTGACCGGAAGGACTCATCGGTGTGTATATGTGCTGAGTCACCAGCCCCTCACCTTCAGTGTGTGCCGTCTGCCCCCTCCTATAGTCAGTGGTTGGCCACGTGTCAAGTGTGACGGGGTGGTTTAGAGAGACCTTCTGGTTAATACTGTCCAAATCACATTCTGTTATCTACCCAACTTTGAGGAACTCGATGCTTTTGTAGCCTTGATTTTTGATTTATCAAATATCGCCTGGGTTTAGGAATTTGTTCTGCAGAGATTTTTTTGTATCCAGACTTAACCTACGTAGCTCACCAGAATCGCATCAGTGGTGTCAAGCCAGCCCCACCCTGGGAGTGCTAACCCCAGTGCAGCCTCAGGTCGGCTCATTTATTACCATTTTAGATTTAACAAGACCGATCGGCTCATCCTCTGGGCCCGGTTGATTTTTTTTTTTTTTTTTGCTTCTAGTTTATAGTAGAGGTTTGTTTTTATTTGAATTCTGTTTCAGATTTTGTGGGTTTGGCACTAAACATAATGGAAACCCATTCTGCTCCCTCCCTCTTGAATTTCTTTCTTCGTTGATCACCTTCCTATAGCAACTATTTCCCAAGCAGGTAAGTGAAGCCTTGACATAAACACATGACAGTGGGTGACAGACCAGGAATCTACTAAGGGTCCTTGAAGCCCTGCTCAGTTTGGAAGTTTTAGCACCATATGTAGAAAGGAGATAATTTGTGGGAGGTGAAGACAGCAGCCCACACAACTGGAAACTTTCAAAGGCACTTAATGGATATAAAACTCTGCAAACAAAACCTTAAAAAAATTAAGCCTCTCAACTTGGTTTTATACATGGCTCATTTGGTTTTGAAAGCTAAAGGTGGAGAACAGAGGCTATTAAGAGTTCTAGTACTTCGGTGCATTAACTTAAGCTGTGTTGTTCAACTTACTTGTAAAAATGAACATTTTTAAAGTATATAGAAACATAATAGCAAAACATCTTTTGTAAAAGTTCTGATGCAAATTAAAAGCTACATATTGGTTAGGGTAACTGAGGCTTTAAATTTTGTCAGTGGGCTACCTTATCAGATAGGGCTTTTTTTTTTTTTTTGTCTGGCGTTAGTACGTGTAGTTTTTAGTCTCAGGAACAGAGGCAAGCAAGTCTTAACCTTCGAGAACTGACCTTCCTTCTTGGCATCACAGTTTCGGAGACTCCCAAGCACAGGAGCTGTCTTACCCCTTCACCAGCACGAGGAGCTTGTGCAGCCTGTGGCGTGGGAGGCGTTTCCCAGCAGCTGGTGACGAGGGGGCGCCTCGGCAGTTGCTGGGTGGGAGCAGCAGTAAAGTAAGAGGTTTCTGGCATTTACAGACATCGCCACACAAATACACTGAAAAAGCAGATCAAATAGTCATTTTACTTAGAGGGATTTTTTTTTTTTTTTTAGTCAAATGACAAAAAGCAATCTTGCCAGATACTCTCAAGTCAAGTGCAGGTGATGGACTGAACATGTAGATGTCAGTTCCAAAAAACAAACCGGGGATCTTGCCACCAATTAAAGATCTATTGCTCTTTTTAAAAGGTCTGTTGTTGGTTTGTTTGGCTCCTTCAGCAGCCTGAGTGTCAGTGCTGAATGCGAGGGCTTTTGGCAATTTGACTTCCTGCTATCTCTCTTGTTACTATTGAAAAGGTTTTATCAACTCCACTTGAGCAGAAGAGCCCTTTCTAGTGTTCAGCACAGAGCCAGGGATCACAGTATGCTCCTGTGGCTACAAAGGCCGAGGGGGCCTGCATTTTAGAGGTCACTGCTAAGCCTTTTATAGTAATCAAAAATCACCTCGTATCTCCTGCACCGGAGTGACATGACTCACTTATGTCTCTTACTGCTGGCTTGTTCACCATTTGGCTGGTGCTGCTCTGAATGGGTGTTTACACTCCACAGGGAGCTGCTGTCAGTACAATCTCAAGGGCTTGGAGTGCCAGTAGCAGTTGGCATAGCAGACTGTCCCCAAGCCATCAATAAGCATCTTCTGGGGCTGTTTCCTACACAGTGCTTTTGGGTAGGAAGTAGGTTGAAATTCTGTACAGTGCTTTTTCCACAACCTCACTCAGACTACTAAAAAATATCTGGAATGCATGTATTTCTTTATCCCCCCTCACCTCGCCCCGCCCCCCTCCCCCCCCACACACACACCCCAAGAGTTTTGCTTGAGCCCTTCAACTACATTAGATGTGGAGAAGCTGGATGACTTAGAATGACCTTGTCCATTCCTCCACACTCCAAATAGGAAATGCCCTTGGTGGAGGAACAAAAGAAAGTCACTTTCTTAGAAGTGCTAGAGGCTGATGTCAACTCCACAGCAGGCTATTAAGAGTGCTTCCAAAACCCTGGAGACCGGACACGCCTCAGAACATGCTCAGTTTCCACTGAACAGCGGTTAAGGTCAAGAGCAGCCCTGGCTCAGGAATCCAGATAGCGGGTGAGGTTCTCCTGCTGCTAACTAGCACTGGGCCTAATGGCTTCACTCCCCCATCTCATCCCTTGTGTAAAATTGGGTAACACTTGCCCTGCTTTATTTCTCAGCGTGGCTGATGCTCAATATTATTTTTAAACTCCTCTTGGTTGTGGATTCATCATCCACCATAAGAATCCTGGTGATCAGTGGAAGCTGAGTTAAAAGACCTATGGTTCAAAGTCATTCTAACCCGATGATATGTAATGACACCATGGACTGTTCAAGAGCTCCTACTGAAATCAGCCATTTGGGGTCTCACCCACCTGCCCCTCCACCCAGCAATGCTCAGAGTAGCTATCACTTGGCGTCGGCTTCTCACCAATCCCAGGACAGCTCTGGTAGAGTCACAGGCCCGTCGAGATTTGGGTTAGGAGTCACCAGACACTAAATACCTTATACTTGGAAAGTCCTTTCCATTAGGACTCACTGCATTTCCTATTTACTATCCCACTCAGCCCCTCCCCATTTGCCTGGGAGGGGCTGACCCACAAGGACACCTGCGGTGGGAAGGCCAGGCCTGGGGAATCAGAGCCAGATGAATCGGGTTGGTACCTGCAGTCATCCCCTCCAGTGCTGACCACATACTTGTCGTCATGAGAGAAACGGATGTTCGTCACGTGAGCCGAGTGACCAAAGTAACGCTTATGTTTGGCCTGTGAGCAAAAGTAAATGGAGACATCTAAGAGATCCTACTACTCCTAGCAGCCACGGACCACTTCCCCTCCAGGACCCAAGTTCCCTCTTCCCGGAACCTTCCTTCACTCAGGAGATTCCCATTTGGTCTGGACATGTTAGCCAGCCTTTTACTGGCTTTCCTGTCTCATTCTTGCCCCACTTAATGGCCATTTTGTCCACCCTCCTCTCCTCCTGCTCCCAAGACTTTCCCTCCGGAGCGAGATGAATAGGTTAGGGATTGCCAAGTCTCCACAGGGCTGGAACAAGATTTCTCTTGTTCTAGACTCTAGGTGGCCACTATCCTCCAGTGGGCAGAAGAATGGAGACTGGAGGAGGTGTAGGGTGGTTACTGTAAGGAAGACTCACAAATTTTTCTGTGCATGGAAAGTCAAAGAGCTTCACCAGCCCAAAGTCATCTCCTGTGACAATATTCAGGCCAGCATGGGTCACACATGCGCAGTTGACATCAGCCTTGTCTGCATTCCGCGGCCAGATGCCAATGACTTCATCTCCCAGAATGCTGTTCCAACAGGAAGAGATGTTAGGAGATTGTGTAAGAAGGCTTCTTGTAGTTGGGCATCCTCTCCCAGGGATAAGAGGGAGAGGGGTATTTCACCTAATTCAGTACTGTCATGTGACTCTTCTGACATGCAAGCATCTGTTCCCTCTCCCTCTACACTTGCCCCTGCTGTCACTGTTCTCTGCCCCAGTCCCTTTCACCCCAAAAAGAAAAGTTACCTCCATCTTTGGTTCTCTCCCTCTTGCCTGTACTCCTAAGTATGTGTGTTTGAGAGAGGAGTGGGGATTCCTCTGAGCTCACAGTTTGGAGGTCTCTTTTTCCTTGAATTGGCAAGGCACTGTTTCTTACTGGGCTAACTGGCAGTTCTAGCCTCCCATTCCCTCCTGGTGACTGGAAGTCTCAGTGCACCACAGCAGTGCTTGGCCAAGACCAGGGAGGTAGTTTCCCTTTGCTGGAATGGGTTGGTAGGATGGATCACACAAAAAAGAGGGCCTTTGCATTTCAAAAGCCCATGTCAGATCAAAGCCAGCATCCCAAACTGGTACCAAGAAGCCTCCTGCCCCCACCCCCAAAGAGAAGATGGCTGTATCTGAGCTGCTTCAGACCCCAGCTACACACCAACTTGGAGGGTGAGCCTGAGATAAGAGACGCCCTTGTGACCTTTTCCTCAAGAAGTGTTTCCCTCCAGTCACCTTGTCCAGGAGGCCCAGGTGATCTTCTCAATGACCGCGGCTTCGGTTACTTGCTTCCCCAGGGGCACCTCATGCACCTGGCGCTTGTAGGCTCCTGTTGACACCTGCAAAGTGGGAGAAATCATGTCCATCAACTTTCTTTCCAGCCCCAAGGATTCCTCTTTTGGTGCACTGGCATCCCCAGAACTTTTCAACAAACCCAAGTTCAGCCATAGGCTGCAAAGCCTGCAGTCAGCGCGCAGGAAAGTTCACATGAACAGGGCGTTTTTCCATCCGTTTTCTCCCTATTTTCCAAAGTCCTGAGGCAGTGGTTTTCTAAGTGTAGTCCCTGACCAGCAGCATCAAAATCATCTGGAAGCTTGTTAGAAACGTACCTGCTTAGGCCCCAGCCCAGACCTACCCAATCAAACGCTCTGAGGGTGGGGTCTGGCAACCTGGGGTTTAACAAGGGCTCCAGGTGATTCTGATGCTCGCTCAAGTGTGGGAACCTGTTCTCAGAGAGCCATAGGCCTTTGGTACAAAGGGAAGGCTCATTTTCTCATGGACAACAGCTGATACAGATTTGTGAAGCATCTAGGACCCGACCCTTGCTGCTTTGGGCTTTTCTAGGGAAAACTGACCATTTTCCAGAAAATGGCAGACGCCTACGTCTCCAGCCCCCTCTCTCTGTGCAGGTACCTCTAGCCCAGCGTTCCCAGATTTTCCTGCCTTTCCTGCAATGAGCTGAGATCTCTCACCTCAGGGCCTTCCCACAGATGGCCTGGAACCATGTTCCCGCCCCGCTTTGGTGGCTAACTCCTACACCTTTCAGACCTCAGCTTAAATACCACTTACGCAGAGAAGAAATGAATCTAAATTCAGCCCCTATTAAATGCTCTCGCAGCAACCTGTACTTTTCCTTTGCAGCACATAATCACAATTTGTAACTATGTATATTTTGTGATTATATGTTTAATGCTTGTCTTCCCCATTACAGGGCAAGCTTCAGGAGAGTAGGGACCAGGATCATTCTGTCCATCCAAAAGCCTACCATACTGCCTGGTTTATTAGATATTTGATGAATGAAGGTGTCCTCTCTCCTTTCACAAGGCATATACAACCGCTGGCCAGATCACAAATGCATCATATTTGTTCAGAGTGCTGGAGAAATTGTTCTGTCTTAAGTCCCAAGAGTGGGACCCCTCTCCATCCCATCCACTTGTCAGTTCCCCCGGGACCCAGTGAGCGTCTCTCACTGCAGGCCGACCATCTGGAGGCCAGGTCCCATATATGCAGGGGCCACACTATCAGTAGGATTTGGAATTAAAATGAATTAGTGTAAAGAAGCGACACAGGATTACGTGCAGCCCCAGAGAACGAGAAAATAGGCAGCTTTGAAGGAGAGGTGGTGAGAGGGGGATTATAGATGATTAGGACTTGTGTTTCCTGCTTTTCTTACAGAAGAACTCTACTATTTTAAATTCTATTTCTTCAACTCTCCAAGCCTGTGTTTCTTTATTTATAAAACAGGAAAAGTAACAATACTTAAATGGTTCCTGTAAAGAGTTAAATGAGCACATTGCCCAGCGCACAGGAAGTCCTCAATGAATATAAGCATTGTTATTATTACTATTATTATATTACTGGTTGCCCCAGATATCAGTAAAGCCAAAGCATACCTGGATGTATTTGCCATCCGCAGAAAAATCCATCTGAATGACAAAGCTTGGGATATCTTTGCAGTAACCAATGCGATTCAGGCTTGTACCCTGAGTGAGGTCATAGAAGTCAACTGTGTGTTCAGAAGAACCAATGGCTAAGAATCTGCTGTCGGGGCTGATTCTAGAAAAAGCAATCCAAGAGCATGGTCCATGAGGAGGGCTGTTTGGAGCTGGTCAGGCCTGTGCTCTGCTCTGGGACGGGCCTCCCAGGCACAAGGGCAATGAGATCTTTCTTCATGACTCACATGTGGTTAGCTTCTACATCCTATGGAATTCCAACAACTTCTCTGGATCAAATCCCCAAGAACTAAGGAAATAGATGTATGTGGCCTTTTGTAGAATGGCATTTTATGAGCAGTTTTGACCACACGCTTGTGGAAATTCGCAGAGGCGTGTCTGATACTGTGAGAGGGTTTCCTGTTACGGTTGGCTCATGGAAATGACCCTCTCACAACTGAGTTCTTCATGGCTGAGTTCCAGCCGGGGCCCTTCTGCATGGGAACCACTGGGAAGAATGCCTGCCTTTCTCCTCCCGGCCCAGACCACCTGCTATGTATACCTGATATCTTGGATAGCAGATTTCCGGTCTCGTTTTTTCCCCCAAACTTTCAGGCTGTTCACCAACAAGATGACAAACTCTCCATTCTTCATGCCAATGGCCACCATCTCCCCATCAGGGCTGTAGGCTGCACACCTGGCCGCGTGGCCCAGGTTCACCTTGTTTAGCAGCTTCTACATTGATACAAAGTAATATCACCTGAGCCCTTGGCCATCTCAGCTGGTCTCCAGGGGAAATCCTGCTCCCAGGCCAGAGCAGCCAGGCTGCCTCTGCTGCCACTATCGGCCTCCAAACTGCTTGCTGCTTACAGTTCCTCTCCCTGTCTACAGAGGTGGCCCTTAGGTTCTGATGACAGCAGCCTGAGATACAACACGTTTTAGAGCAGGGGTTGGCAAACATTTTTTGTACATGGTTTATAAGTAAATATTTTAGGCTTTGGGGTCCATATGGTCTATCCGAACCACTGAACTCTAACCCCAAAGCAGCCACAGACGCTACCTAAACGGAGGAGAGTGATAATCTGTAGAAACAGGCAGCAGGCCCGCCTTGGCCCACCAGCTGACCTGACTTACTGCCCAGGGGAAGGACTTTGAGCTTTGCCATCTGTTAGTTCAAATCCTGAATCCTGGTTCTTACTAACTGGGTGTGTTTGGGCAAGTTATTTCTGTTTTCCCATTTGAAAAAAAAAACCACGATATTAATATAGGTCTTGCAAGGTTATTGTTAGCATTATGACAGTGTACATGAAGCACTTGGTATGCAGTAGGTATTCAACAAATGATAGGTGTTAATAAACATAATTATGAACTAACTTAAGTATAATAACCACACTTAGCCTTTTGTGTGTCTGTTCATTGATCTGTACATTGAAAATATGACTGAGATACTAGCCATTTTGTAATGAAACCAAGTATTTTAATTATTAAAAACTTAAGTACTTGTTTTAATATTAGACAAGGCTTGGTAACATGAATCTTTGTTTCCCAGACCATTCCTTGCTATTTTAGGTTTTCACCCCAGATGAATTTTTTTACATTATTTTTTGAACTGAACTTCTAAATTGTTTTTCCAAACTTGAAGAGAAACCTGTTGGGATTTTGATTGAAATGTTTCGTTTGGGAACATTTAACATTTTAAATCATTTTTCGTCTTCCTGACCAGGGAAGGCATGATTTATTTCCTTATTTTTTTGGTTTTATGGGTTCTTTCATGATGAGAATAATCATTCTCATTGATTGTAACTGAAAATTTTTTAAAAGGGAAAAAAAGTGAAGGGGAGTAAGAGGTTCAAATTCCCAGGTATAAACCAAATCATGGGGATGTAATGTACAGCATAGGGGAATACAGTCACTAATATCTTGATAGCATGGTACAGTGTCAGATGGTTGCTGTACTTATCACGGTGATCACTTCTTTAGGTCTATAATTGTTGAATAACTATGGTGTACACCTGAAACTAATATAATATTGTATGTTAACTATATTTTAATACAAATCTTTTTAAAAAATTATTCTCAATTAGATTACTCCTGCTATAAATATTCACAGATGGATATACAGCTAAAAGATAGATAGATGGGGTGTGTGTAAACGGGACTTCTTCTATTAGGCTTCCTAACTTAATTGCTGACCTGTGGTGATCTCTTATCCAGCCCCATGCCCCATCTCTGGCCCGACCTCTCCTCACTACTCTGTGAGGCCCACTTGTGGGCATTGGAGCCCAGGCAGAGTCAGCCCCTCACCTTGTCAGCCAGGTCCCAGATGCGGGCTGTGCCATCGTTACTGGCAGAGATGAAGATGTCCTTGGAGGGGTGTGTGGCCAGGCCCCAAATCTCCCCTTCCATGTGTCCATCAATCAGGATGTTAGACGCTGCATTTTTTTCACCAACTTCAATTATTTCTCCATCTTTGGTTCCCACTAAGATTTTTCCCTGTTGTAATCAAAACTCTATTAGAAAAAAGGATAAATAATGTATCATACCACGCATATGAATAGTCAAATTCATAGAGGTAGAATGGTGGGGCTGGTGGGAAAGGGGAGTTGTTGTTTAATGGGTACAGCATTTCAGTTCCGCACGATGAGGAAAGTTCTGTGAGTGGAGGGTGGTGATGGTTGCACAGCAACATGAATGTGCCAGATACCACGAAATTGTACGCTGAAACATGATTAAAATGGTAATTTTACATTACCTATATTTTGCCACGATTTAAAATAATTTTCTTTAAAAACCACTATTAGAACACCATGGGAAAGTGCCTTCACTGGCATTTGGTATTTACGTAGGTAGAGCTGAGAAGTGTTTTGTTTTTAACAACTGAATTGCCCATCCTGAAGTGGCTCTTTCTCTTCTCCATCCATCACCTTGGGTGAGATCTTCAGCACACAATTCTCCATCATCCAGTCTCTGCTAGGACATTCAGATCGGGGAAGCCCATGTCTGCTCTTGGGCAGCTCACACTCTTCCTAAGTTCTTCCTGACACAGAACAGGAACCCGTTTCTGATGCCTTTCCAGGTTCTGGGCCTCGTCCTGCATTCATCTCCCAGACACCTAATTACCCTTCCAGACGATTGTCATCTATCTACTTAAAAACAACATTCCTAATTTCAAATTATGTGGACCACAAGTCAGGTTGGCCCCTTTTATGGAGAACATCTAGAAAGCAAGTACTCAGACTGATACCAATCTGAAAACATAAACACGCGGTATTAAAAAGGAGAGATTTGTTTTCAAGTGTACCAGAATATGCTGGGGGATTAAAAAAGAAGAAAAGGCCAACACATCAAGGTCCCACTTCTGAGATTCTGATTTGCCAGCTGTGGGTGGGAGCTTGAACATGCATATTTTCTAAAAACTCCACAGTTGTTTTTGATATTCAGCCAAGGTATGCCTTGAAAACCAATGAATTTGAGTCAGACAGTTTGGTGGCCTTTATCCTCCCCCTTACTGGCTGTGTAACCTTGAGCATGGGCAAATTATTTACTATTTCTGTGCTAATAATAGTATGCATGGTAATAGTAGCTAACGTCTGAATGCAGCCATTTGCCAGGCATGATAAGAGGCACTGTACAAGTATAATGTATGATCCTCATAAGGTTAACCATGTACCTGACACAGAAAGGTCAGGTAACACACACAAGGTCACAGGCCCAGTTCTACTGGGCACATCACAGTTTGCACCCAGGTTTGTCTGAGTCTGTTAAGCTACCTCTACACTATAGTGTACAGTGCACCTAGAGCTTTTGTTTTTGTTTTGTTTTTTAACTGGGAACAGTGTGTTTTTCCAGGACCCATCAACTCCAAGACAGGTAGTTGTTTCAATCTAGTTGTGGAGGGGTGGGGATTGAACCAGCAACCTTGGTGTTATGAGCATTGTGCGCTAACCAGATGAGCTAACTGGCCACCCCTAGAGGTTTGTTTTAAGGATTCAACAACCCAGCTCAGGGAAAGTGCCTGGCTGGTGTGAAAAATGACATAAATGGAGCCATTTCAAAATGGAGTCGGAGCTGCCATTCCAGGGGAACTCCCTTGCATGTCTGGTTCCTTGAATCTTTTGACTGGGCCAGACCTTTGGACTGGACTAAAACCAATGTTGTTTTACATACAATTGTTTGTGAAGCCAGTAGGAAAGCAGGCATCCTGACCACAAGGATGTGATTATGGACTCTATCCCAAGACAGACTCAGTAAGCAATCATGTATAGCTAAGAGTAGCTCAGCTTGTAATCACCAACAGGAATTCTTTCTTTTTATTTAATTAGTCCTTTTTCTTTTCTCATAAAAACCCTTTACTTTCACCCTATAATCAGGACACTTGGGGTTTCTGCCTAAATTTATGCTCCCCAAACTGCAATTCTTGGACCCCAAATAAATGCTTGTTGCCCCTCATTTCGGCTTTTTAATTTTAGGTTAACACTTGGAATGTGCTGGACCCCTTCCCACTCCCGGCCCAGCCTGAGGGGCAGCTCAGGGAGCACAGTGCTCACTTTGCCACGGCACACGGAGCGCACGCTCTCCACCAGCTGCCCCGTCTCCAGCTGGAAGGCTCTGCAGCGCTTCATCTCCTGGTCCCACAGTTTCACAGCACCTCCTTCTTTGGTCCTAAAAAAGATCAAGAGGAACTGAGCACGCGTTAGCCCTCATCCTCAGGCCTCCCCATGACCCTCCACTCCCTTCTCTCCCCATCATCTCATCAAGGTCACGGCCACTCAGAGCCCAGCAGGATGGACACTCCAGGGTAGCCTCTTTCTTAGGCCATGCTGATGAGCTATCACAAACCCCTGAACTTGCAGATTTCCTAAAATGCCTTCAAATGCCACGGTCTTGGAAGGAAAGAGAATTGTATCTAGAAAATCAAACTTTTTATTAGGTCAAACAAAGAGAAATGTTGCTCTTGTTTTTCTGCTTCATTTTCACAACTTCTCTGTCCCCACTGGAACTACTCTCTCCTGTTCTCACTTCTTCCTCTCTTTCTCAAAGAGCTACCAAGGGTATCACTTTATGAACATCAAAGCCACTCAGATCTATTCAAGAAATACCTCTCGGGTTTCTAAACTACCACTAAATAACCTCTTTCCTTCTCTGACTCTTAACTTCTGAAGGTTTTGACCTAGGGCACTCTTGACAGACTGATGCCCCTGACGCAGAAAAGATAGGAGAATGAAAATCTGCATTTTCTCCGAGTTGTAGATGCTTCTGTCAGTATCTCCCAAGATAATTAAAAAAAAAAAGACCAGTTTTTCCCAGAGGAGCTGCAGCTTACGGCCGCTCTTTCCCGCCGGTCACTATGAGTCCGTCCCGAAGGGTCGTGTACATTGTGAAGACGGGGCCCGTGTGAGCCTTGGCCACCAGCCGGATGAGGAAGTGGTCCTTCCACACGTAGACATCTCCATTGATGGCACCCGTGAAAGTGAGGTTGTTCTGTAAACAAAGGGACACCGTCCACAACAGGACTCTCATAGCAGCTCTCAAAAGGGTCCCTTCCCAGATGCCTGCTCCTTTGTTAAGGAACCAGGGCTAGAGGAATGTAAACACGCACTCAGATTGACCTTCCGTGCTAAGGAAAGGCAAAAGGATTTGTAGAAAACCACACATAGCATATAATAAAGAAACCACCTGGCTGTGAAATTCGCTCTATCAAGTTAGTGGGGAGCTGACTTCCCCACTGAATGTAGCTGTGTGTGTAAATGAACTTCCATTCTGTGAGCAAGCCCCAGGTGACATCCAGGGAGGGGCAGGACTCCAGCCTGAGAAGAAACTTTCGTGGGCTTGTCTAAGAGGTAGATAAAACCACAGCTGGAGAAGCAAGAGTTGGCTGTGTTCCAGAATGTCACCAGAGATTTTGCACTGGCTGACAGCACCCCATGGCCTACTTAAGGGTGTCAACTGGGGGAATTTGTGGCACACAGGGCTGAGAAGAAAAGGGATATTATCCAGTGGTAGAAATGACCCCCACATTCTCTGCGACTGTCTAATCCAGGCTGACTAGGTTTCCAAGTCAGTCGGCCTCTGGAATGATCAACCTTCTGCCCTGACTGGGGCCCTACCTTTTCTGATTAACATTTGAGGTAAAAAAAAAAAAGGGGGGGGGATTGCGCAGAAATATAGTCAACTCAGCCATCTCTGCTAAGGAAAGGGAATAGTGGCTGCAAATAAGCCACTAAAGGTGATAATGTGGAAATGGCGTTCTTGTTTGCAGCTGCTTGGCCATACTCCTCCAGCCCCTCATCCCCATCCATGCCCAGGGGCTCAGGGTCCCCTCTCAAGAAGCTTCTGTGGAAACTCACAGCACCGAAGGCCACGGAGAGCATCGTCTGCATCTTGGCAGCCTCCATGGACCCGATGACCCCTTTCTTGTAAAGCAAGGCGCTGCCTGCCAGGGTCCAGAACTTCATATGCTTGACTCCGACAGACACAAATTGCGTGTCTGAATCCGGGCGAAATTCCACCACAAATATGCGCTCCAGGTGACCCCCTCGGCTGGCAACCTTGGCACCTGTGTGGGTGGGAGAGTCCAGTGATGTGGCCCTCCTGAGCCCTGAGGGCCAAGCACGGAGGGAACTCCAGCCCAGGACGGCGCTCCATCCCAGCAGGCCCAGGGCACACTTTAGTGTTCTCTGTTCTTCAACAGTACCTTCCCCACTTCAGACACTACTCCCAAGATGGGAAAGAGAGGCTGTGTCTGGGAAATTTCCAGAACAGAAAGTGCTGCTAACATAATCCCCCACTGCACTCTGCCCCAACTCCCACAAGCCACATCTAGGCATCTGTGAACACAGCAGGAAAGAATAAATGGTTCAGGAGATGGAAGCTTCCAGATATAAGAAAAGGGCAAAATTGCTTAAGGGCATCCCGCATCCACCAACCCCACAAGGTTCACTCCCATTGGAAGGCAAACGCTCCCCAGATTATCACTGGAGACTCTCATTCCCTTAGACAGTCGTTACTTCTCCCCAAGATTCTCTGCTTTCATTTTCTTTTTTTTTTTTAAAGTTCCCAATATTTCCTTTTCTTTTACAGTTTTTAGGTTAAAATTTTTTACCTTTTATATTTAAGTACTAGTATGCTCCTCAACCCCATTTATTTATGTTTTTGACTTATTTCCTGTGTTTTTCTTTTTTCCCCAGGGTTTTATTCAACTTTTGTCTTAAATCCTAATTCCATTTATTTGAAGAACAACTTTGCACAAAGTATTTAACTCCTCTATGCCTCAGTTTCCTCATCTGTAAATTGAGGATAATAGTTCCCATTTTTTAAAGTGTTGTGATGACTGAAAGAATTGATATAAGTAAAGTCTTTTAGAACAATGACTGATGAGTATTCTGTAAGCGTTTAATTATTATTATTGTTCTTTTAGCTCCTTTTAAAATCTCTTGGTTTCTAATCTTTTAGCCTGTGTTTAAAACCTCATCTGTTTTTATCTGATCAGCCCTTGAATTTTCATTTTTACTTTACGCTTCTGTCTTTTCTTTCCATTTTCTTTTAATTTACTCTTAATGCTGTAGTTCTAATTTCCTGTTAATTAGCTCATCTCCCTACATTATTCACTCATATGTATTTTTTTTCTTCCCATTTTCCTCGTCACTTACATTTACTTATTTGTTTTTACAATGGGTCTCTAGCAGAATGGTGATGGTGGAAATGGTTGGAATACACTCCCTACTGGAATCCCTTCCCAGGGATGGCTGGGGAGTCCCACAGGTACCTCCCAGGTGGTTATTCTCTCTCTGCAGATGGAATGCTTGACGTACTGTAACAGATGCCACTACCTCAGGCTCAGAAATTTTGAAACCCATGGTCCCCAAGGATACCATAAGCTAAGTTAAAAGACAAACAATAGACTGGGAGAAAATATTTGCCAAACTTTTAAGACATAAAGAATTAACATTAAGAATCTGTAAAGAACTACAAGTCCTAGGTAAAAGACAAACAACCCTCCCACCCCCAGTAGAAAAAGGATTTGAACAGTTGAATTACAGAAGAAGAAATATACAAGCAGCCAGTGAAGAGACGGAAAGAGGATCAATCTTAGTAGTTATGGGGGAAATGCAAAATAAAAGAACAATAAGATACACATTTCTCCTAAGCCACTGTTTCCCTGTTTTAGTCTCATGAACACTTCTAATTGTGGTGATGCCTATTTCTGGTTTCTGGCTTTCTCAGAACGAAATGCATACAAGTACCTAGGACCTGACAACATGCATTTTACATAATAAACTCATTTTATTTTGTATATTCTTACCTGCCTACCTACCTACACACACACACACACACACACACACACACACACACACACACACACACACACACNACACACACACACACACACACACACACACACACACACACACACACACCACCCCCCAAGAGTTCCACAAAATAATCCTTTAACAAATGAGGAATGAATAATATACTCTCTAATAATAACAAAAATGTACATAAACCTCCCTAAAACATATTATCTGTAAGAAGGAGAAACCACACACAATCAGCTCAGAAGAATTGATCTAGATATTATCAGTGACTCAGAACCCTCTGTACAGGCCCAAGCACTGGTTCCAACAAAGACAATGGGGGAAGGTTATCAAAGAGGAGGCTTCTCTTGTTCCTGGGGGCTTGTGTACAAGTCCTGACTCCCTCAGCAGATCAGAAGGGGCTCCAGGTGAGCAAGAGTCTGAGCTGGGGCAGGGCCAGAGCAGGTATAGCCCAGAAGGACAGGTGAGGGAAGTGAGGAGAGTGAGCCTGAACTGAAACAGACAAGACTGTGTGTCGGGGCCCATGGAACTTGCTTCCAAGGAACTAGGAATAGATTTGGTCTTGGCTGCTGTGGAGAGTAGAGTTAGGACCGTAGACGAAAGGCATTATGAAGCAGCTTATGCCCTCACAGTAGAAAGGGCTTTATGAGACCTTTCCAAGAATGAGTGGGCCGCCTTGTGAAGGATGAGGGTCACATCCTTCAAAGTATTCAAGCGCAGGATAGAAATCGGCCTGTCAGAAATGCACTTGGAGGAATTTCTCCATGGGCTGGATCCCGACTGGGCAGGAAGTCCTCTAGTCATTTCACCTCGAAGATGCAATGAGTCTATCGTTTAAGACGCTCAATTTCTCATCTGGGGCTGAGTCTATTTAATCAGATGGCCACCTGACATTATAAGGAATGAAGCTGCATCCCCAAGATATAGATTATGGGGCCATTTGGATACAATATACTAATGAATAAGAAAACGGGAAATGGTTGGAATACGATGAGTGAGTCTCATCATAAAAGTCTGCAGGTCCCCAACCTCTTTTTCTCATATGGAGGCTCGAGGGATTGGAACTTTCCTCCCTCTGTGGTCGTCTCTTTACAGCTCCCTCCCATGGGAAGGTGCTGAGATAATGGGACTGTAGAAGCCCTGGATTGGAGACATGCCACCTCTGTGCGTGCCTGGCTTAACGTGCCCCAGATACAGGCTGCCCAGTCGGAGACAGACCTCATTAACATCCTAACTAATTGGATCTGCCTTTGCCAGCCTGAGAATATGCTCAGAAGACTGCACATCTTTGATTCTAAGAGGACCATAAATTTAGTAGCAGCATGTATGTGTGTATGTGTATGTGTGTGTGTGTGTGTGTGTGTGTGTTGAAGGCAAGAAAGAAAACCTGCTAAATCAAATGTAATCCTTGATTATAAGATGAATCCCCGTTCTAAAAAGTTAAAATGTAAAACAAATATTTCTGAGGCTATGGTGGTAAAACTCTGTCTCCAGTTCCTGTAATAAGACAACCAAGGTGACAAGCCTGCAGCAGAATCCAGGGGTCACCAGAAAGAACACTGAGGACAAGGAAGTTTGGGTTGGAAGGACGCTAGGACAGAGCTGGGGGAGGCTATTGCCTTCTGTTTGAGGAAGAAGGCTGCCAGCACTAGGGCACTTCCCCAAAGTGTCCCAAAACCCTCCACGAACCCACGCAGGACTCCCTGGCCAGCCCGCTCCTGACCACAGGTGTAGAGATGCAGTGACATACAATGAGCAGCTCCCCCAGGAGCCCAAGAGCCCTGGTTTCTGCTGACCCGTCAGCAGTGCCCTGCTGGGCTCTGCAGGGAGGCAGATCTAGGTTGGAGCCCAGCTCATGCCACAGGCAAGCCTTTGGGAGGGACAGAAAGCCCAGCTCCACTTACCTTCCTGCCAACGCCAGACGGTGATGGTGTGCTCAGGGTCCACGCCCACTGACACCAGCAGCTTTCCGGTTGCACTGAAGTTGATGTAATTGACCCCTTTTGAGTGGGAGCACCGCAGCATGGAGAGAGTGTGTTTGGTCATGGCATCCCAGACGTGGATGGAAGGTGTTGTTCCTGAATGTGGGAGGTATGACAAAGAACTCAGGCTGGAGAATGGTGGAGCCAGGCACTGTTTAATTTCGTCTAGAAGCCTTTTTAAGACAAGTGTTCAGGGGCCTTACCATGACTGGGCCTAAGAGACCTACAGCCTGACCTGGCCAAAGGTGAAAGCCAACAGCAATAGCAAACATCTGCTAGGCTTTCAGAGACAGAGGCTAAAGGCGTTTACGCCCAACACACACACACACACTCGTGGAGGAGTTTCTACAAAGGAAACTCATAGGTCCACGATTTGTATCTGCAGTTCAGCCAGATACAATCAGCAAACACGGTATGTCAACATGATTTTGCTGTGCAGATTCAGACTACTCACGATGGGACAGCCTTACCTGGGGTCTCCGCAACGTCACCTGCATTGGGTGGGTAATGGCAGTGAGGAAGCATCAAGGGAAAACAACAGCTAAAATGAGTCATGGTTCAAATAGTGAAGCACTCAACACCAGCATCAGAAAGTTCCAAATTAAATTTACAAATGGACATGGGGTCAATGAAAACAAGCAAGAAGATATGTTTGTAAAAACTGGCTTTGAAATGACAAAGTGAAAAATAAAAACACTTTTGACAAATGTGAATCCGTTCACATTTGTCACTGGCCATTTCCTAGGGTATGGAAGAGCCAGGCACATGTGACACAATCTACCCTGGCCAAGCACAACCGCCCGGCTTCAGACGTGAGGCTCTTCATTTGACACCTGGGGTCTGAAAAGTTATTCTCACAAGTCCACAGGGATGGGGGCCATCCATTCAACTGGAATAGTAAGCTCTGGTCTGAATTTATGGCTCCTAAGAATTACCAATTGCTGGATGCCTCAACTCAAGCAACACAGATACGCTCAGGGCTCAAAAAATCAATAGCAACATCAGTGAGAAAGGGATGATGTCAGTGGCCCACCCTCTCCCTCTCCCAATAATTGCTAAGAAGTCAATGTCTCTGCTCAGTTGCGAGAACCTCAGCCATGGCAGGGCCCTCCTACCTATCTGGCTGGTGGCCACCACATTTCTGTACTTGGGGTGCTGGTTCACCGTGAGGCAGAGGATGTCATCCGTGTGCTCCAGGTAGAAGCTCTGGCTCCCTGGGAGAGAGACATGGATGGTTAGCAGGGATCCCTAAAACCTCAGGGAAATCCAAAAGCTTCTTGTGGAGTCTTTGGAAATGCCCGGTAAAAGCCAGAGCTCACACCCCAAATTATCATTCAGAATCATCCTTAGGGATCTAGGGAATCACTTTTTACATTTACACATTCTGTTCTAGGTCTGGGAGAAGAGCTGTGTCCGTTACCTAATCCACACAAGCTCCATTCAATCCTTCCTGCTGTCCTGTGTGGATCCAGAGCACAGTCCAAGTGCAGAAGCTTCCTGAGTCCAAAATGATCAAGTTTAATGTTTCTTTCTCCCCTTGCCCTTGACTGATGGCTTCTCAATGTCTACCTCTGAGCAAGGTGAGGCAGGGGTCTGGAGATGATGCAAAATGGCACCACTTAACCACCGGAAAGGGAAAATAATGAAATAGGAAAATACAGATGGTCCATGGCTTATGATGGCTCAACTTATGGTTTTTTCACTTTACATGTGAAAGCAATATGCATTCAGTAGAGACGTACTTCGAATTTTGAACGTTGTACTTTTCCTGGTACAATACTCTGGTGTTGCGGGGGCAGCAGCACTGAGCCACAGCCACCAGTCAGGCATGCCATCAGGAGGACAAACAACCGATGCTCTACAGCGTATTCATTGTTAGACGGTTCTGCCCAACTGTAGGCTCATGAAGTGTTCTGAGCATGTTTAAGGTGGGCTAGGCCAAGATAGGAGGTCAGTAGGTTAGGTGTGTTAAATACATTTTTGACTGACGATATTTTCAATATAGGATGATTTTATTGGCACGTAACCCCTTTGTAAGACAAGGAGCATCTATACTTAGGGAACCCCTTTTAATCATTTTTATTTATCAATGGGTGTCTGGATGGCACAGGTGATGGCTTTAGCCCTTAAAGCCCTAACTCAACATATGTCACAGGAAGTGGGAAAAAGGACAAGATATACTTTATCATCTATTGTGGCGAATGGGTTTGCTGACTGCCAAAGTGACCACTGTAAACTCACCCAAATGCCTGCAAACTGAGAGGTGAATGATGGCGTTGTTATATAAGGAAACAGCACATTGCTACGAAAATGAGAATATGTGCTTAGAAAATGGACAAAATGCATAGAAAATCTCAACACACTCCTCCCCAAAAAAGAGAAATCATTATGTGCTCAGTGGTTCACTGTCTACAAATCTATGCATGAACAACTGTATAAACTGGGAAGGAGCATACCATTTTGGAAAAAAAAAATAGGTCTAAGATATGAATAAGGCAAAATATTAACATTTAAGTCTGGTAGTAAAGATATGAGTGTCTGTTAAATTAATTTCTCAATGCTTCTTTTTGCTTGGGGTGTGTGTCTTTTTTAACTATTTTTTAAGAGTCATCATATAGTTAAGGGATATTTGGGGTGTTTTTGTTCCTTGTTGAATTGTTCTCCTTATCATTATAAATCTAGCTAAATAGTCAAAACAAACAAAACTTGAAAACCTGAGCTGCTAAAATATTGAACACTGTTAAAAATTAATGAGAAAAATTCCCTTGTGCTTTGTTCTTGGTTACAGGCTGTGAGGAATGTCCCCACTCTCCACACTCTCATTCTGACTTCTCTCCACCCCTCTCAGCCTCGGAGTTGCTGATAGAAACATGGACACCTCTCTTGACCTTTGACACCTTTGACTCTTCAAACGTGGGCCTGAGCATTTTCTAGGACTAAGTGATACCAGTCTGGAATCAAGTAGAATGGCTTCAAAGGCAAGAGAACGCTTAGGCTTTGGGGCAACTGAAGGGTAGGCAAGTGCATAAAAGGGCTAAAACAAAAGCCTGTATTCAGGCGGTGGTTTGTCCGGGCCCAGTCACCTGTGGAGAGGTTCTGAACGACACCAGCCGCTGCTGTGTGGAAGATGATGTCGGCACCGTCATTCAGGTAATGCAGGTTATTGCGACAGTCGAACCCTCTGTAGCCAAACACGTGGTCAAGAGCCAGCTCCTACAATCCCACATGAAGATGAAAGTGGCCCTTAGAGGAACAAACCCACACTTCGGGAACAGCCACACCTCTCAGGGGAAACGCGTGGCTGGAGAAACCTCCAACCACTCGCTAAAAAACATTTTGCTTCTTGACTGGCTGAAGGTAAAATGCAGCCCTTTCTTTAGTTGCCTGAAATGCTAGGGGACAGGCTAACACAGAGAATTATAGTGAGTTTTCTAAATAAACTAGATTGGCTTCCTGGCTCCCCAGGTGAGCCGAAGTCTATGGATTTGATGCTTATAAAGGTTATCGAGAAGTTTTCTGTCTGCTCATTGGCAGGCACTCTTTAGATGAGCTGAATGGTGGCTCAGAGATTTGCTCTGATTCCCACAAATGCAGCTGGGCCTGGCAGGGCAGAATACTGAGGAAAATGCCATACTCATTCTGTTGCTGGGTGCTTGCCCTACAAAGTTTCTAGACAATTTGCATTTTTTTCAACAACTAGATACTGTTCTGGGTTTATAGCCTTTCTCTTCTTCCTGTCTTGTCTTCCATGACAAAGAGCAGTGGCTGATTCAAATCAGATCAGTTCTTAATTCAATTTGACACACACGTATTGTTGGCAGCTCTTTTGTGCCAGGCACTATGCTGGTTGATGGGATTCAAGATTAAGAAGATGTGGGGCCCTTTTCTCTAGGTTCCCTGATTCTAGTCTTGTCTCTCTCCAAAGATCATCAATTGCAAACATCAGGTTAATTCTCCTAAAATACCATACCACCTCCTTATTCAATAGCATTCACTGACTTTCACTGCCGAAGGAATAAAACCCAAATTCCTGAAGTTGGCACAATCAGCCCCTGTTCACACATCTCCTGTACCCCTTGGTCAGGATGACTTGTCTAGTTAGCCCATATATCATGAATTTTCCAATCTTTATGATTTTGTTTTTTAAAATATCTCTCACCTGGAAAACACTTTTCCTCCTTTCAACTTACTGAGTGCCTGCCTACACATCAGTCTCCCCACAACCCCGATCCCTCACCCTCGTGTGTTTCCCGGAAACTGTGTGTATAATACGTGACCACTCCCTCCACTCCACCCCTCCCACCCCCACTCCTAGTAGACAGCTAACTCAAGCTGGGCCAATCATGTAGTTTCTCTCAGGAATTTAAAACTGGGGACAGTGGTAGGCCAGGCTGTTTAATTAGCGGAGGAGATATAAACTCAGGTGCTGGGTAACACCCATAGTCTACCAAAGTAGTTCAAAAAGCCTGCAGAAAAAAAAGGAGAATGCGTCAGACACATACAAGGTCCTGTTGGGCGGGAAAAGGCACCATCTTGGCTTACAATGGCTTTTCAGCTCCTGAATCTTGTCTTTCCTGAAACTTAGCTACATTTCCTGACCTGCGCTGTGTTCCATGAGAAATTCCCCCCAATAAATCCACCCTTCCCAATAAAAAAATTGAAGATGGATTTTTCTGGCCTCGGTGAGTTCACAGTCTAGGAAGGGAGATAGGTGGGCAAGAAATAATGACAGCAGAGTGTATAACAAGGGCTGTGGAGAGGGCGGTGTGGGAAGCGCACGGGAGGGTTTAGGGCGAAGAGCATCCGGGAAGCCTGCCCAGGGAAGATGCCGGAAAACGGCTTGGAAGGACCAGGCTGTGGGGTGAGAAGAGGAGGAGCTTCTAATCAGAAGGAATGAAAACTCGGGGGCTTGAAAATCCAAGGCAGCTTCAGAGCCACTAAGTAATGTGTTTGGGGCTGGAGATTTGAGTTTTGGGGGAGAATCACAGGAGATGAGCTGAGAAGGTAGCTCCTGGGTTCAAGTTTTGAAATCATGAACTTGAATCCCACCGGCAATGTGAGAATCTTGGGTCTTAACGCTGGGGTGAGGTGTGAAGTTACATTTTAAAGAGCTAACTGTAGGCAGCAAGACATGCATCAGAGAGGCACAGGGGAGTCGGAAGGCGGGAAGAACAGTTAGGAGGCCTCTTTTCAAAAACAGCAGGTTCACAGAGCTGCAACCCTCGAGACTCAACAACCAAGTTACATACCTCTCCACTTACTGGCTTGGTGATTTTGGGCATGGGACCTAACAAGCCGCTTAACACCCTTGAGATACGTGTCCTCATTTGCGAAATGGAAACAAAAGCAGTACCTACCTTGTAGGTGTGAATGAAATACTTTATGGGGAGTACGTAGCATAGTACCCGGCACCCAGTAAGTGCTCAAACATTAGAGACAACGACTAAGACCATGCCCTCCCCCTCCCCCGCGTCCTCTCCCCCTGAGTAGTACTAGGAATAGGAAAAAGGAGCTACGTCTGAAGGATATGGGAGATTCCTAATTAGGACTGATAGGACCCAGTGGCAGGGCTGAAGGCATGTGACCCAGGGGATATGATTCTGGTCACTGGGATGGGGGACACAACACCATGTAGAAGGAAGAGGGAATGAGCGAGCCACAGGGTCCATTCAGGTTCACTTGAAGGTATCTGTAGCACATGCAGATGGTGATGTCCACCGGGTTAAGAACATCAGTATCAGATTGAAAGCAAAATAGTTTAACCTGCTCACCTCAACCAGTTTCTTCTTTTTGGTGACATTGTTCTTCTGGAGTTTCTCAGGCTGGGGAGCTGCTCTGCTAACAGGTGGTCTGGAACAGAGAGGGGCCAGAAAAAGCATAGTGGTGAACAAAAGTCAGCAAGGTTGCTCGTCTGGTGCGGTCAGCTAAGGCCCGTGCCTGGCTTCCCTCTCTTCTCCCCACTTAGAGGACCGACCCTCCTCCACCTGGGGTTGTACTGTCCTGCCCCTCCTGCCCTGGGAAAAGCAGCTTCTGACATTACTTGTCCTGCATAATGGGGCCTGGATTCACAGGACTGAGGTGGGCTTCCCCACCCCTAAGCCATGGTCGTCAGGGATCAGTCCCTCCCTCCTGGAAGCCAGGAAGAACACATGAACCAGACTGGCTGATTTTCAAACCAAAGAGGAACCTAAGCATGAGAAGGAAGAGGCTGTGCTTGTCCAAGTTGTTCAGAATTAGGTAGTGAAAGATTACGCCATGGTGTGAAGTGGGACTTACAAGCCAGGCTTGGGAATGGCCCTGAAGGCCATGTATTCAGGTCATTCTCACCACACAAAGGGCCAGTAGGAAGCAAAGGGATAAAAGTCAGGAAGGACCCCCGCTCTGCACTTTGCTGTATCCTTCAGGGTTATGGTCTATGTTAAACTGCTACCGTTATACCAAAGGTTACCTTTCCTTCTCAGTTGTGGAGACCTGGGCCTTGAAATTGAATTAAGAGATTTTACAATGGGTAAGGCTTCATGGATTTTTATAGGAGTCGGCCAATTTGGCGTAACATGGGGTTCCCTTAATTCGACTTCTGGGAGTTTAGGAAACCGTGGATGGGGAGGGAAGGCCTGCTCCAGCTCCATGAGTGACTGTTCTTGGGCTACGCAAAGAAAAAGGTTTACCTGGATCCCCTTGTAAGCAGCAAACAAAGCCAAGTGAGAAACTTAGTACCATTTAGAGCTGTATTAGCAAGCACCTCATTCATGCACAAGCATTTTCCGAGTGAACAGACATTCCTGTGTGGCACAAACCATGCTTCCCAAGCATGCCAGAAAGAACTAAAACAGAAATGAAAGAGTGCACCAGTCTACAAATTCAGAAAGCTCATACCCTGGCGTCTCTGGGCAAACTCTGCACTAAAGCGCCTACAGAATAGGGAGAAAAAAGGAAGCCTTGTCAATGCTTCCCACACACTCTCCATGACTCTGCGAATGTGCCTGGGGACTCTGCTTATTTTAGTGTGTTGGGGAGAAACTTGTTGTCAGAAAAGCAATCACAACCTCCTGGATGTCGGTGGGAGTTATGCACAATGGGTGCTTTGTTTCCGAATCAAGTTCAACTCATAATTTTGCCTAATAATTCCCAGTGTTTCTTGGTAGGCCAGCTTGCCTGCTGGAACAGCTTGCATTTTTTTTTCTTTGTGCTGAGATAAAACAAGGTACCTTTATTTTCTCAGAAACTCTTCAATCAAAACATGTTATGTAATCATAAGTGTTTGTTGGACCAAATGATATTATAATCACCACCGAAGAATGGGGAGAGAGCACATCTCTGCAGAATGACACCCCCGGCTGATGTCACTGCTGCCAAATTGAGCAAAACCGGGAGGTGGGCGGTGGGGGGCATGCCAGTTCTCACAATTAGACACTTCCTTCACATTAATTATCACTTCCCAGGACATCTGCTCTTTCTTCTGTTTTAGTGGGACTTTCCGATGAAATCCGTGGGTTTCTCCTTTCACCTAAGAATGTTTAAGTGTATGACAAAAGCAAGCCAAGGTCTGAGATGGGAGCAAGGGGACACTACAACTATAGCATGGTTCATAAGGCAGAATTTGAGATTAAACGCACGGCTTGTCTTCCAGGTACACACGGGTTGTATAATATGCCACATATTATACAGTGTATACAGAGTATGCATACAAGCACAAACACTGTGTATTAATATATACATGAGATGGTGTATATATATACACATAGAGGCAATCGATTTTTTTTTCACCTTCGTTTTCAGTTAAAAACTGAAAAGTAAAGCAATCTCAGAATCTTTCGTATTTCACAAGCATATGCTTACAGCTGTATTGCTTCAAAACAAGATGAGAGGGGCAAAAGGAAGAAACCTGCATGGTGGCAAATTCAGCGGATTGTAAGTCTAGACCCTTCGCAGTCATGGATTCTGCACGTACACTTAGTGCTGGGTGCTCATCCAACACCTGGGCGTTTGCACAGTGCTGTGATACTTACTTGACAATTCCCTGCCTCCAAAGGAAAGCAAGTTAAAACACAATACAAGCATTAAAGGCTTCTTTCCAGGCACCTGTAAACAGTGTTCGTAACATCAAACATGGGAGGGACTGCCAAACATTTCAAACATAGCCAAACGCGGGCGGTTTAGCATTTTTCAGTGGATCTAAATCCTTCCAGATTCAGATTCCATTGGTAATGTGACTCTGAAAAGCTTTGCTGAGGCGGGAAAGAGTAGAGGGCATGAGAAGCGTCCCTCACTTTTCAGTGCAATAAACTTTTTACAGCAGGTTGCTCCCAGCTGGTGCACAGGATGGGAGGAGAGCAAGGACGGTAGTGAGTACGACTGGGAGTTGGCAGGCGGACTCAGAAAGGTTAAGAGCTGGGAAGGTACAGGGGTGGGGGATTGGAGGTGGAAGGAGCAGAGACACAAAGGGGCCTCCTGGGGGCAAGTGGGGCTTTGAAGAGACTCAGGGAAACAAAGGAGCAAGAGAGTCACCATTGGGCAAGAAATTTAAGGAGGGAGCCTGGCAAGAGAGCAAACAAATTGCGTAATCAGGAGAGAGGATGATGGACAGGCTTGAGCAGAGAGAGAGAAGGAGAGAAGCTTTGCCAAGAAGAGAGGGTGGGGGCAGGAAACCCAGAGGCCTGTGAACTCAAGCATGTGACTGGGTGTCAAGTAACAAGGCAGCCCTCTTCTTGCCCAGTGCTGGGGTGCAGGCTGCTGAAGACCCACCCCACACCTGTGGGTAGAGTCACTGCCTCATGCTCTATGAAAATGACATATTCTGTGGGCAGGGGAGGACCGTGGAAGGTTAATTTCTGCTGTCATCCCACTGCCCAGCAGCTAGGCTGCTGAAGAGAAAGCTTAGACTCACTTGCCGATGTGTGGAGTGTTACCCTGACATAGGCTCTCACCCCACAAAAGGCCCCCAAGGGTGGCCGGTGCCCAGGTGTTTGCCCCTCCTTGTCTTCTCCCTGGGGTGCTGGGCTGGCAGAATAAGGGGTGGAGCAGAGCACGCAATGAATGACCTGAGATGTGCAATAGAGGGTTCAGAGCCAAAGCTCTTAGGGAAGCTTCTGAAATGACTGAGGAGGTTAGGAAAACCAGTCACAACCCCAGATGAGCACGGTGTGACAGCCTACTTGTGAGTAAGGCTCAGAGAGCCGGTGAGAAACGAAGCCTTTCCAAACAGCTTCTATAAAGAAGGGTGTGGGTATGGAGAAACTCAGCTATATTTAGCCAAGATATGCAAGTTTGAAATTGTTTTTAGTGTTGTCAGACAATGTTCAATGTGTCCCTGGAGGAAATGTAGCTTTCTGCAGATTCCAAAATGTGCCATTAAATGCTCCAAGAGTTTTCAAAATGTCTTGGGAAACCAAGCTACTCTTGATCCAAGTTTTAGGTGAGAATGAGCAGATGATCTGAAGACTGTTTTAGAATTGTCCTCAAACAAGATCTGTCACCCCATGGGCTCAGAGAACCCTGTGACACTCATGCCAAATTGTGTCTGCACATGTGCATTTTTCTGGGGAAAGGAGGCATGTTTTAATCAGATTTTCAAAGATTTCTGTGGAGAGAGGGAGAGAGGGAGGGAAGGAGAGGGAGGGAAAGGGGGTGAGAGTGAGTGAGAGAGAGAGAGAGAGAGAGAGAGAGAGAGAGAGAGAGAGAACCAATGTGCTCTAGGATAAGTCCAGGTTTAGGTAAAGTCTTCAAAGCCCAGGGGGTTCTCTATTATTAAAATAAAATTAACCAGAATCTGTTCATTGTATTCCTATGTATTCCAGAACCATCTGTAGAACTGCTCAGTGGTGAAGTGGAGTAGAAGGAAGGGAGTCATGCAGGAGAACTATGGGATGGCATGCCCTGAGGGAGGCCTGCCACCTTAAAAATGCTCTTGACTGCAGGCTATAACACAGCCCCCCTTGGGGGAATATAGTTTTGGACATGGCCATTTTAGGTGAATATCAATTTATTGGGGTGAAAAATTGAGATCACAAAGGACAGAGTGGAGGGAACTATGAGTGAGGTGGGCAGATTACTGAAGAGGCCACTGAAATAATCCAAGGGCAGGGACGGTGAAGATCTTGACTAATGCAGTGGTTGTGAAGAAGAAAACAAGTGAAATATTGGTGAAGCGGACTTCAAGCCCTTTGTAACTGATTAGCTCTAGTGGACAAAAGACGAAGAATGATTCAAGTGGTTTTCTGCTTGGGCATCTGGGTGGGTGGTAGCACTACTGACTGAGACAAAAGATGAGTTCAGCTTTGACGTGTCAAACTTTGGACATATGTGGGTTGGCTATACTACTAGTTGGAAGTTCAATTGAGAAATGGGACCCACAGATATGACCTTGGGAATCATCCCCCAGTGGGTAGGATATATGAAATTAATCAGGGAGAGGGTGTAGGGTAAAAATAGAGGATGGCCAAAGATGAAATCCCGAGGAGCAGCATGTGGGGTGCTGGAAGAGGAGGCAGAGATGGGTCACTGAGAAGAAATGGTTGGAGAGACAGGAGGAAGGCCAGGACAGACCACTTCCAAAAGGTGAGAGACGAATGTCTATAACATCACTGTCCAGTATGGTAACCACTGGCCACATGTGACTTGAATTGTGACTAGTCCAAATTAAGATGTGCCACAATTGGAATATACACACCAGATTTTGAAGACCTAGTGAAAATAATTTTTTAAAAAATATTTTAAAAATTCATTAATTTTTAAATATATTGCATTAAATAAAATATTAAAATTAATTTCACCATCTCTTTTTACTGGGGCTACTAGAAACATCACCTGTGTGGCTTGCACTATGTTTTCTTGTACAATGCTACTCTAGAAGAAACAGGTCTTCCTTTTAACAAGACAAAGATAGAGAGGAGAGTGGATTGGATTTAGGAATTAGGAAGTCACCATGTGAGCAGAATGGCAGGGACAGAAGCTAGACGGAATGGGCTAGAGAATGAAGGAGAGACTTGGTAAAATGTGGATGAGAAGAGGAAAGGGAGGGAAGGTGAGGGTGGGAATATGAGTGTAAGTGTATAAGTCAAAGAATTATTTTTCCTTGAAGAGAGCTGGTGGGAATGGGGAGGACTGGAAAGTATTTCTTGGCTGAAGACATTGATCCAGCTATGGGGGAGTGATACAGGAGACACGGGGGAGATGATGAGGGAGCCCGGAGGCTGAGCTCTAAGCACCATCTGAGGGACAAGCCTTGAATAGGAGGAGGGATTCACTTCCTCTGAGAAGAGAAGGAAGAAGGTAAATGGTTTCCGTGGGGTGGAGGGCGGGAAGCATGAAAGAGGAGAGGGAAGGAAGTGCCAAGATATAGTTCATGCCCAAATGGCTTCTGTTTTCTCAGTGAAGGAGGTTAGAAAAGCCATCTGCCAGGAGTGGAGGGAGTAGGGTTTGGGCAGAAGGTTGAGGAGGGGACAAAAATTTGTCTGACTGCTGAGGGGGTGGCAGAGGGAGCCAACCAAAGACAAGAATGAAAGTGAATGAACAGTGAAGAGGGCCTACATGCAGCTAGCAACATAGACTCTGGTGAGCGCAATCTGCACTGCTGAGTTTTCGTCAGAAGCGTGGGGAGGTGGGTTGTAGGAGAAACATAGGGGTGAAGGTCCAAGAGGCCTGGAAGAGTGACATTTAGGCAGGCAAAAATAGCGAGGCCAGGAGAGAGCTAGAAAAAATGGAGGTATGTAGGCACTGGATGTCTTAACGAGGATGAAGATCAGGTGTACTGAGAACGAGAAATCCAGAGGAGAGAAAGTTAAGTCACTGAGGGAGAGAGGCACCAAGGGTGACAATGTAACCCATAGCTTGCAAGGCAAGAGCTGAAGTCAGCCAGGTGGCCACTAGCTGAATTCCTCAGAGGCAGGAAGCTGATCAATGACAGGAACAGGGAGGGTTAGCAGAGGGCAAAGCATGACAGGAAATTCAAAGGAGCAGGGCGGGGCTGGTTAAAAAGCATTCCAATATACTTTAAACACACCCACAAACGCACCCTAATCCACCACACCTTGTGCCCACTAACATGGTTTCAAGGGGCACAAATCGTGCACCCTAACAACTGTTTCTGCAAATACCTCCTCAGTTACCACATCACGACCACACAACAGTAGAAGGAGGCAGGGTAAACGACCCCGGTAGCATCCATTTCCTCCAAATGGAGAGCCGAGAGATGTTCAGAAACTTGATGAAAATAATTGGGCTTAACTCTGCCACTGTCTTCTAAGAGTCATTCCCTTCGGATAGAAAAGCGCTTACCTATGTGTGATGTGAACTCCATGAGGGAGTGGGTATGAGTCAGCTGATTACACTGTAGGAGTATAATTTCCTAGGTATATTCATCTTTTAAAAAATCATTTTATAGCACTTTATCTCTGAATTTTTATGCCCTGGTACATTCTTTGTGATAAAAAGCAAGCAAACAATTCTCTAATGAATGGCAGATTTAATTCCTAAAATTATCCATTATATAGACATCATTACTTTGCTTCAAACAATACAGAAAACCAAGAGATTTGAATTAAAACAAATTATTGATGATAATAGCATTAAAAGCCCTTTTTTTAAAAAAACATAACTATTCAGCTTTCGGTGAAGTTACATAGCTAAACAATAGGCCTTTAAAATAATTTCAGTGTTTCAGGGTTTAATAGATATTGTAACTTCAGTTCCTTCCATCTTGTTAAAGAACAGTAAACTTGCTACCTTCTACCTGCTCAGAGAACCTATGAGTATAGAATTCTCACGGGATCAAAGGGTAGAAGGAAGGAGAATTCAGCCTACAGGGGAACTCTCTGGAGAGGCAGGGGACACTCTGCCTTGTTCATTCATTCCCCTTACGCATGTGCAGTCACTCTCCGGGCGTGAGTTCCGAGCTTTGCTTATACACGACACTTATGCTGCTGCATGTCTCTGCACTAACTCGTTGGCTACTAAGGCCACTCTATCATCACAAATGGAATAGAAATGCAGAATTGGAGGTTCCTCCCCATTTCCTGGACCAAGT